AGTTTAACAACTGCGATCGGCGATCGGGGATGAGCCAAAGTACCAGACTAACCACGGTTAATCCAGACACGTGATTGTCCCCAAAGCGGCTCCAGTCGATTTGAAAGTACAGACTCATGGCCCCCGAGATTCGCCATAAGTGTAGGTACTCGGATGTTTCTCACGGAGAAAATATATAATACAATATATCGCGGTATGTGTATAAATATATGTGTATTGATTATGTTGCACGTCAGCCGATCTAACAGCTAACAGAGCGTCCGCGCACCACTTGACACCACCCGCACATCGATGGACCACGAAATAGCGACGCGCTCGTCGAGCCTCGCGCACAAATAATCATTCATCACAGCCGGAGACGCGCTACGATGCATGTCTAGGTACATTTGCTGTTTCAATTGACGACCAACTGTACGATCACACCACTGACGCGGCTTTTCGGACGTCACGATTCACGGCTACATCGTCAACTGCACGTTACAACTTTTATTTCAATGAAACAAACAAAGTCACCAGCACACGCGATAACGAGTCACAATGTAAAAAGAAAAAGAAATGATTATTACAAAAATAAAACACCACTCCACCAGTGTGCGTGTATACGCCGCACTGTAACCACGAGCACAAACACCGGGTATATATATATACAATACGTATACACTCTCGAGTACAGAGAAAAGGAGCATTAAAAGAAGAAGACCGCGGAGAAGCGTCGACGAAGGGGTCCTATAGAAGCGACGGCAGTTCCGAGGATTCCGGGCGAGACTCTCTCTCTCTCTCTCTCTCTCTCTCTCTCTCGTAAAAGTGTCTTTCTTACCTTTGGTGTAATAACGTTACGGAGCGATGAAAGTTTAATACCGACTCGGCCGCGGAAATTTAATATCCTCCCCGAGCTGCTCCTTCCACTTGTTCGCCGAGAGCCCATCTAGAGAGCGCGCAGTTAGAATAACGCGCGGGGTCGTATGATGAATAGGTTCGCGATGCCCCGGGAGGGGAAAAAGAAGTTTTTAAAATAAGGAAGAGGGTGAATCCGAAATCAGGTGGGGGTGTGGAGCTGCAGCGCGTGACAAAGATACGCGCGTCAAGTTTGACGTAGGCAAAGTGCGGGACGTGAAAAATAACGAGTAGGCGAATTTCTTTTTTTTTTTCCGGGGCGAAGACGGATGAATCGAAGAAGCGGGGGTGGGTCGAGAGTGATTGGGACGCGAGTGTGTGTGTGTGTGTAAGTGGGGGATGATAAAAAAAAAAAAAAAAAAAAAGCGAGAGAAATCGAATTAGTTGGAAAAACGAGATGGGTGCGTAACTGCGCTCCGTGTTATACAGTACCTATGTACCCACACCCCGAGGGGAGTATTTATTATGATGTCGATTGGTATTCAGGGACGCACCTCGTGTTTACTGCTTCGTGATTTGCATAATCGCTCGGCGTGTATATTTTATACACACATCACCGTACACGGTAAGTAGCGGCTGCTGGATGGCGTTACAATTTTGTCCGTGTGTATAAGTACCATTTGAAGAAAAAAAAAAAAAAAAAAAAAAAATGATCGAAAACACAAATCATACACGAATGGTCGCGTGCAGTTAATCCACGTATACGTATATTGTCATATAGACCAACGGAAGCAGGCGCGCGTGTATTTTATGTACTCGAGGAAAGAAATGTATTCGCTTTGATGGCTCTGAAAACGCGCTTGACAAATAGATACTTAGCATTCACGGCGAGCGTATCTGGCGAGTGTCTCCGAATATTCGCCAGCGTCCGAGAGACAGGGAGGAAAGGGGGAAAAAAAAAGAAAACTCTCGGATCGTGACAATGAAAAATCTCCAGCCAACAGATGTATGAAACGCGCAAATGCCTCCGGAGAATCTTTCTGTACGGAGAGGAATCCGATGGAGGAGAGAGCGCCTGCCCCGGGACTTGTATGGCGGCTGTGCTGTGACGGAAGGAGCGAGTGGCCCCGCGTGTGTATTTGTGTAAGAGGAGAACTTAAAATTCTACGCGAATCTGAAAGTCTAAGGGCTACGGAAGGTGGGGGGGGGGGGAAGAAGAAGATACGGGTGTGCGTATTTTGCCGGAGGGAGAGAAAACACATCGGACGAGTAATGGGAAATTTTTCACGCCGGGGAGTCGGAGAGAAAGAGAGAGAAAAAGGTTCCGAAACGTGTGTTGTACACATAGTCTGGTGACGTGCGGACGTCGTGGAAGAAGTGGAGAGGAATTCGTGCGGGAATTGATTGGGTGGGCGGGGATGTTGCTTCTTCTTTGTTTCCTCTCCTTTACGTTATACGTTCGACCGGAGTGTCATGATCTGGAAAAGGTAAATTATCGAGGGTCTGCCCTCCCACGCGTCAGATAACTCGGGATCTTTACTCCGTGTCTGTATCGGACTTTCTTTTTTTTTTCCTCCCCATCTTCGGGACGATGTCAACTAGTACTCAATTTATAAGAAACAGACGTAACGCGTGTTTTTATACACCGAGATACAAAATAACATTTTGACGTGAATTAAAAAACAGTTGATCAACGCTAATTGCGAAATGGGCATCGTTCATATACACATTGAGCCGACCGAATCGCAAAATGTAAAAAAGGTCTAATAAATAGATTGGATTTCACCGAAGCCGAAGACGACGACAACTCGTGCTCCATAATAAGTAGATAAGTACCGGCAGCAGCGGAGAAAGAGAGGCACAACCCGAAAGGAAAAAAAAAAAAAAAAAAAAAGAAGCAAATCCAATTAGTCCGATCCATTATCGTGTTTCCACGGAGCGCGCGCAGTAACACGTATAAGAATCAATTATCCCAGCAGGGGAGAGGTCGATCGGCTTTTTCGTCGTCGAATAATCATCGTTAATCTCGGCTCACCCTCTCTCTTTGTGTACAGTTAACGTGTGTGTACCGTGTGTGTACTCGTACATTTACCACAATCATGAAAATATAGGGTTAAACGCGTAGGTCGGCCGCTCCCGTGGTACACACGGTAGGTAGGTATAATGTAACACGCGCGAGCGGAGTTTGCGCCAACTAATAACGATTTTTTGCGAGTCCTGTGGCTGCGCGGGAATTTTGCGGGAAAAGCTCAGGCCATTACACACACACGTACGAGATGAGGGGGGGAAGGATGGCGGTAATACATTATCGCGCGGCTCCTTAATGGAGAAAGGACCGGCGACAAAAACAAGCGAGAAAGGGCAGGGGAACGGAGGAGAAGAAGAAGACGGAGGAGGAAAAAAAAGGACCGCAAGAGCGGTAGGTAGTCTACGCCCGCTAATACCACAATTTCGTCGTTTTTCTTCGCCGACGACTTTTTCCTAATGATTACGCCGGCCGAGCCCCCCCCCCCTCCTTCCTCGGACCCGCCCGAGCTCGTCCGCAAAGGATCTCTCATCCGTCTCCCTCTCCCTCTTTTTCTGATGTCGTCTGTTACCCGCAGCTGCCGGAGAAGCAAAGAAACTTTTGGTCTCTCTCCAGCAAAAGTTGGCACACGCATATACACCACCCCCCCGACCGATGCCTGAATAAATGTCTCGGCCATTATAACTATTATTTCCCTCTTTCTGCACATCTCCTTGTCCAACCTCCCCATTGATTCTGGTGTAGCTGACTCTGGAAGTCTCCTTTTTTTTTTTTTCTTCTTCCTCCATCAACTTGCGCACCCGAACGACGCTGTCGCTAAAACCGAGGAAGAAGCAACGAGGGAAAGAGAGAGAGAGAGAGCCAAGGAGGAGAAGAAGAGAGGTATACGGAGCGACAGGAAACTTTTGTAATACGTCCTATCCTGCGAGTACACGACGACGAACCAATCTAAAAGTTTCCACGTGGCAGATTCGCGTCGGAGCGGGAGAGAGAGAGAGAGCGTATAATGTAACGCTTCGCAGGAACGTCGAACGTCAAAGTTGAAAGTTGCCCCGGCAGTTCCGGAGGATTCGCGAGCTATACAGGGTGCATGATGTATGTATATATATGGTACAGAGGCGGGAAACCGTGGGTGGGGAAAAGCTTCGGGCTACACGGGCGAGTTTGTTTGGCGACATCAAAGGTATATGCGCAAGCGATGGCCAAATATTTGTGAGTTATGAAGCTGTGTTAATTACATACGCCTCGGACGCTCGATTAGTCCTATGTAAGGCCGGGTGATGATCTCCCCGGGACCAGGTGATTTTTTTTTTTTTGCTCCTCGTCCGTTTTGTTCTCTCTTTATTTGGAGAGGGAGAGGGAGCAGGGCTGTATATGTATACACACGGCAAAAAGCAGGGAGAGTTTTATAATGAGACGGAAATTAGCCGCGAGGGGTATCGGGGAGTCGACGCCACCGAAGATCCGTGGAAGGTTTTTTGATTACAGGCGAAAGGATAATTTGGATAATTTGATTATGATGCCAAGTCGCTCGTGAAGTGCCCCCCCGTAAATGAGAGAGAGAGAGAGAGGGTTGGTGTTGCGTGTGTATAATATACATGTGTACACAATATTGCGCGCACACCCGAAAGGGGAGAGAATGAGTGTTTTCTCGTAATCTCCTAATTTGACGACGACGGGCGGCTGCAGCGACCGAAGAAGAGGGAGCAGCAGGAGAGAATTTAATCAAACTCGGCTTTTCAATTTTATTTTCTCCTCTCTCTCTCTATACATATATGTATATATGCAGCTAACCAGAAAACCGTTGTCGCTGCGTTTTATTTTTGCAGAGCGCGAAATTGCAGATCGCGATAAATGAGCGTCACCGCGTAATTCATTGATACGTGTATATAGACTGGCCATTTACGGGTATAGCCGCGCGATGATGTTCAATTACGATTATCTGGATGATTGCAAATTATACCAAGTGCGATGATATCTCTGCCCCCACCCCCCACTTAAAATCCATCATAAAATTGCTCCCTCGCCACCAAATTATTGGTCATACATTTCCTTTTCGAAATCGATCCACCCACGTGCAGTGTACTCGTCGACAAAGTGGATTCAACGCGATGAGTATCAACAAAGTCAAAACACGTACCTGATTTGGATTTGTCGCAGGAGCCAGGGGAGTCCTCGCCATCGAGTGATATCGAGGATATCGTCGCCTGATTCGCGCCGACGATGCCGCCCGGCGAGCCCGATGACTCCGATACCGTCGGCTGGTGCTGCTGCTGGTGTATTTTTCTCTTGTGGTTGCAGAGCTTCACCTCGCGCGTCTTGGCTTGGCTGGGGCTCCAAGGCCGCGTCGCCACCTGTAACCACAAAATCGCTCGTCATTATCCTTCTCCTCATCCTCCTCCTCATCCTTATAATGTTATACACTCGTCGGACAATCATGATTACGATCGCGAGAAAAATAAAGGGACGGCTTGTTTGTGCGTCAGCAGGGAAGGCGCAAGATCGAGGTCTTTTTCATTATTGTTATTATTATTGTTGTTGTTGTTGTTGTTGTTTTTATTACCATTACCGTGGTACATGGTACACGCGTGTACACACGATACCAACGCGCACGTATATTGTTACTGGGGATGACAAATTTGTTCGGGAGGGGGGGGGGCAGTGCTCGTTCGTTCGTTTATTAGACGGGCGTCCGTTAATTGGTAACGAATTCAATTGACGCGCGCGCGAAAGAGAAAGGTACATTTGTAAGTGGCGGTAGCATTGCAACACGAGACACGCGGACGAGGGGTATAGGTAATTGCGTTTTGGGGCTTTCGGTATGTATACTGCGCGGGAGCCCGCGTTTCGGTAATTAGCCGGCTATTATTTCAATTAGGTATTGTAATTTTGTTTGCCGGAGTTGGGAAACGCAGTTAAAGGCTTGATTAATAAAACGCCGGCACCGCGCTCGCACACAGCCCCGCATTATTCCTGCTCTCCGTGATAACTCGTGGACGCGCGATTTTGCAAGCTTACGTGTTTCTCTTTTAATTTTTCTTTTTTTTTTTTTTTTTTTTTTTTCAACTTGTGATTGCCCAAGCAAAACTTTCGGCTACCCCATTATAGACTTGTCGATGCATTGTTTTATTGAGCGAATGAAATCACAAAATACATGGCACATGTTAATTGTAATCGAAGTCTCATTGTGGCATAATAGCATTATTATTAATTTGTCCTGTCCAGCTATGGTGCATTCAACTCGCCTATGGTCAACAAAATCTAGGGGAGACCGCGACCCAAGATCGGTTCGATATCGGTACGATGGGGTGAATGGAGAGGGTACGTATATATACACCTACTACACGCGGTGATAAGCGCGTATATATACGTAGCGAACGCGCCATCTGCACTGGGCGCGAAGAAGCAGCGCGGAATTCGCGAGCTTACGCCACGTGCACCTCCACTGTAAACACTGGACGCGCACTCGAGGTGTATATATATATATATATATATATATATATATATATATATATATATATATNGAAATAAGGGATGACGGACACACAGTGGTAGTTTGAACAAAGGAGTTGGGGAAAAAAAAAAGAAGAAAAGACACCAAAAGCGACTTACATCAAAAGCTTATACATCCATATAACACAAAACAAAAATGAAGCGGCTCTATGTATAGGTATGTATATGCATTAACTTGGAAACACAATAACCAAAGCGTGTGTGGAACTACGTTTTTTAGCGTTACAAAAGTTAGTGTTGTATTATGTATATATATACTAAGCCAGCGGTCTACGGCAATGATGCATTGTGTATATAGTTAATGTCAGCCACAACAACGACAACGACGAAGGCGACGCTGACGACAGTTTAACAACTGCGATCGGCGATCGGGGATGAGCCAAAGTACCAGACTAACCACGGTTAATCCAGACACGTGATTGTCCCCAAAGCGGCTCCAGTCGATTTGAAAGTACAGACTCATGGCCCCCGAGATTCGCCATAAGTGTAGGTACTCGGATGTTTCTCACGGAGAAAATATATAATACAATATATCGCGGTATGTGTATAAATATATGTGTATTGATTATGTTGCACGTCAGCCGATCTAACAGCTAACAGAGCGTCCGCGCACCACTTGACACCACCCGCACATCGATGGACCACGAAATAGCGACGCGCTCGTCGAGCCTCGCGCACAAATAATCATTCATCACAGCCGGAGACGCGCTACGATGCATGTCTAGGTACATTTGCTGTTTCAATTGACGACCAACTGTACGATCACACCACTGACGCGGCTTTTCGGACGTCACGATTCACGGCTACATCGTCAACTGCACGTTACAACTTTTATTTCAATGAAACAAACAAAGTCACCAGCACACGCGATAACGAGTCACAATGTAAAAAGAAAAAGAAATGATTATTACAAAAATAAAACACCACTCCACCAGTGTGCGTGTATACGCCGCACTGTAACCACGAGCACAAACACCGGGTATATATATATATATTATATATGTATATAAACAACTGTCTCCCGTGTGTGCGCGTTGTAGACGTTAGAGGAGGGAAGGTTGCGTAATCGATTATACACGCGTGTTTTCGCGTGCGCGCGCGCTCGCCTACTAAACGGCCTGGCTCCTGCTCTCTCTTTCGTCGCCTCCTGCTTCTGCTGCTGCGTGTTTCGGGCGCTCGCCGCTCTTTTTCGCTCTCCTTCTCTCTCTGGCTCCCTCGGCGTGCACCACGGCTCTGTGTTTATATACACTCGGCGCGCCGAGAGCAACAGCGGCAGCCTCCTCCTACTCCTAGCATCCCCCGGTAACTCCACGTGGTGGATGCGCCCCCTCCCCATTAGCGGCGGCCGACACACCGACGCAGCCCGTACTTGTGTCGTGGGGGAGACTTTTTTCTTCTTCTTCTTCTTTCCTTCCCTCGAGAGAGAGAGTGATGCTGGGGTAGACGACGAGCTGCTACCGTTTCACAGTGTATAGGGAGGAAAAAGGAAAGGAAGGCACGAGTTTGCGGAAAAGGCGACGGCACGGGGGTAGGAGGGGCAGGGAAAGAGGGAAAAAAAAGTACCTATAGGTGTATATACATAAATGTATGGCCCGCAAGAGGTGCAAAAGGGAAGAGGAAAGGGAGTTGTGTATAGGCGAGAGAGAGAGAGAGAGACAACTAACCGACAGAGACCGACCGTTCGACTCGGAGGTGGATACACTTCTATTTGGCCTGCGGGCGTCGGTGGCATCGTCGCCGGCAACAACTACTCCTCCCCGACCGTCTCTCTCTCTGCCCCATCGTCCCTAAAAGAGAGCCGGCGGAAAGCGAGAGCTCCGGGAGAGTTTTAGCGATGGTAGGTATATATTTATATATACATAGTGGAGCAACGCGCTTTGTCATCCGGATCTCTATACGTAAGAGTGTATCTGTCTGTCTGCAGCTGTGTGTGCGCGCGCGCGCCAGCCACCTATTACAAATACATAGAGACGCTCAAAGGGACCAAACGCCGGCCGGACCCTTCCTCCAACAATATATACATACACGTATATTTTATTCGCAAGTACGTGTGCGCCAGCTCGTTTTTGTCGTGCCAGTTGGGGGCTCTATAAGGGCTACTCTCTGTCTCTCCGATACATACGCACCTTTCATCCTTTTATTTCTATCTCTCTCTCTCTCTCCTCTCGCTCGCCGTGTGCGTCAATGTTACGTGTCGTGTTTTTTACCCCCACCGGGTCCTTTTTTGTCTTCCATCCGATATACACCTACACGCGAATAATTTCAATGGATAAAGAATATAGGGAGATGTGCTGTAACTCATCCCACTGGCATACACACATATACACCTCACTTTCAATTTCCATCTTATTCCTATTCTCGTTCTCTCATGGCAAGGGATCGGGCTACTTTGCGAGTGATGTATAATACGATGTAAGTGCGCGCCTGTCGCGGACAGGCACAAGGTGGTGGTGGTGGAGGAAGGAGGATGATCATCCCCCCGTGCACCCGCAGTTTTGTTTCTCCATTGATCAATTGATACTTTTCTTTTCTTCCCTCCACCACGAAATTGATGATGCAGGGTGTATAGGTAGTGTATAATGTGGCTCTCGAAGCGAGAGAAATCACGCACACACGTATATACTTGCCAAAGCTGTAAAGGGGAACGGGGAAGAGGAGCGCCTCGGTGTTTGCTCGCTTTGTTCTCTTTTTTTTTTTTTTTTTTTTTTCTTTTTTTTCGTTGGCTGATGCTCCACGAGCGCGTGCTGTATCGCCCCGCCGTCTCTCATTGAATAAACGCGGGAGAAAGAGGAGTCCACTCGGTTTCCCCGTGCATGTAATATACCCCCGAGGCACAAGGTTTCATTCTTTCGTCCTAACAACCCAGAGGNCGCAATCCCATGGCGATGTATAAAACATTGTAATCGGCTCAATTATACATTACCAGTACATCTATTCTGTTGATTTTTTTTTTTTTTTTTTTTTTCGTTGGCTGATGCTCCACGAGCGCGTGCTGTATCGCCCCGCCGTCTCTCATTGAATAAACGCGGGAGAAAGAGGAGTCCACTCGGTTTCCCCGTGCATGTAATATACCCCCGAGGCACAAGGTTTCATTCTTTCGTCCTAACAACCCAGAGGTGGTGGTGTTTCTTTTCTTTCCCCCCTTACTCGAGAGGCTTTTCTGACTCTCTACATCACAATGCTCACCCACTCTGTTTATCTTCTTCTTCTTCTTCTTCTTCGTCTTGTTTTATTCCCCGATCTTTTGATTCCCCCCCCCCACCTCTCCAATTGGGCGCTGACGTTGATAAATATCGCGATATATTTTGGGCGAAATAGAGAGACATTGTTGTCCGAGAAATTCCGATACGCGCCGCAGCTTCGAATGGTAATTAATATCTATCGAAGGGCACCCCCTTACCTTTGTCCGCGACCAAGAGCAGATGGTGATTTGCATAAAAATAATTAATGAACGGAAAGGGTGGGAGGAGCTCCTCCAGGGGCGCGTTGTTGAGGCGCGATATTCATGAACGGACGTGCGTGTGTATATATACGCTTGGTCAAAATAAAATGAGGCATCGTGCGTTTGGCTGGTAACGGAAAGCGAAAAAAAAAATATATATATATATATATACTTGCTCTTTCGATAGACGAGCAGCAACGTTTAAAATGGGGAAGGAAAAAAAAACCTCGAGGGTGCAAACAACGTATCAAACAATCGATTAGTCAAGGACTTAACTTCATCTCTATACAGAGAGAGAGAGAGCTTGGGCGGTCGCACGTACACGCACGCGTTCCACGAGGTACAATGGGGGGGGGGGGGCCTTTCACACGCACCGTACAAGTATATATATGCGCTCCC